GAACATGTTCTGAGAGCAGTACTTGCCACGTGCTGGGAGGAATTTTGTCTTAACATTTCATTTATGTCGTAGTCTGTAATGCTTGTGTTTTTCTATAAGTCATCTTTGAGGTGTGTTCAGTGGCTCAGACCTTTTTTGCTGGTTTAATACTAGATTATCTGACTTAAGTTGTCAGTCTTCAGCAGTAGATTATTGCTGCCATGTCAGTCTGTATCATTAGTCCTGTATTTGTCAATAAAAAAAATGCTTGGGCTATTGCCCTTAGAACACTGTTCCCTCTTCACAAACCACTCAGTAGGTTTGTAGCTTTAGCTTTTTCTCCTCTTGTTTATACCTGTAACACGGCAAACCAAGCAAAATCCAATCCAAAGCACACTTATCACTGACTCAAATCTGCAATGAGGAACAAACAGATCAGGCACAATTGTAATAAATTCCCTGCTGTTCCCAGTGTGTAATCTGTGAGTAGAGACTTGCTGTAGTAATTTATAACTCCTCAGAGCTGGTGGCCCTTGGAAGAGGCTTTTTAGTGGTTACTGAGTGTTAAAGTTGAAAAAGTCAATAAAGAAACATATTCAACTTTATGTAAAACACTTTATTGCAGTTTGTGCCAAAACCCTTTGGAAGAAGCAGAATCCAGGTTTTTATAGAGAGGCTTCCAAGCTTGGAGCCCAATTCTCAGTGCAAAGCCAGTCCCCTCTCTGTTCTTAGGAAGGAGGAAAAGTCTTTTGTAAGAGCTGGACTATGTTTAGTTCAGGGGTTTTCAGAGTGTGTAGGGTTTTTTTGATTTATTCTTTGTACACAAAATAGGCTTTGCAGTAAATGGTGGGGTATAACTGATTATTCCTTTTTCCTTTAAGGTTTGCTGTAATTGTTTTCCATGTCATTGCTCCCACTCATGGTGATGTGAGAGCATGGCAGGTGCTTGTCTGTTCTGTGTTCCTTAGCTCTGGGTCGCTGTGCCCTGTGCTGTGCTGCTTTCCCAGCTGCCCTGGGCTGGCTGTGGGGCACCAGAGGGAAACCAGCACTTCTATCTCTTCATTTATCAGTTTATTATCTTCTCTGGGAAGTGCAGGAGGGAGGTGTTGGCTCCTTGCTGGGTGGGCCCAAGGGGTGCTGAGGGCTGGAGGTGCCACTGGCTTGTGCTTGGCTTTCAGAAGAGCTGTGCCAGGCTGCTGTGGGGCCGTGAGGGGCATCAGCCTCTCCTTCCTGGCAGCCTCCACTCACACTGCCAGGGCTGCTGGGGCTGTGAGTCCTTACAGTGTTGTCTCCTGGGGCTAATTAGCAGCTGGGTCTAATGAGTGGTGCTACAGAGCTGGGAGCCAGGGCTGCAGGCTGGCAAAGCACTTTTTCTCCTCCTGCTAATCCATGGAATGGGAATAGCCCCCACCCCTGCTACACTCATGGGGGGAAGCACGGAGCAGCCTGGGCTTCCAGAGCAATGCAGAACTTGTGACTGCATCAACTGGGGCTAAACAACGTTCCCAGACAACACCTGAAAAATAACTTGGAACTCCAGTAATTCCAGAGCCGGCTTTTGCTTTTTGGCAGTTTCTGAAGCATGGTGAGAAGGCAGAGTAGCTAAAAACTGGAGCTGGGCTGTTCATTCACAGCAGCCCCCTGCATGAACAGAGCCATGGTGCTAAAACTGCAAGACGTTCTCTCCATTGTGTGTGAATAAATGATGGATGAAATGACTGCTGGATTGTAAATGGAATTTATAATGTTAATAATATAATACAGTCTCTTGCCACAACGGGTCTCCTTTCTTGTCTTTTTAAGCTGCTTGGAAAGGAGCCCAGTGCCTTATTCTTTCGTGCAAATAAATGTAAGCTAAGCAGCCTTGTACACAGAATATCACTGACATGAGACCTCCTGGCCATATGTACCTGTCTGCTGCTCAGCCCTTGGCTAATTTGCCACCAACTCCCAGGAAAAGCATGATAGAAATGAAGGTGGTCTGAGAGCACATTACATCTGGTATTGGGAAAACATAGAAAACCTGATTTTATAGCCTGGTGCAGCTGTGCAGCATCGCCACTGATTTCACTATGGCATGAAGCAAGAACTCCCTTTGCTACAGAGAAGCCCCATCAGTTTCCCCTCTATTTTAACCCCTGGAGTGACACAGTGTGGTCAGGATGGAGCTGCAGAGAATCCGTTTCCCCTCTATTTTAACCCCTGGAGTGACAGAGAGTGTGGTCAGGATGGAGCTTTTGGAGCTTGGTATTGTTGCTGGCAGTTATGTGGTGGAAATGGGTGGGTTTAGGCTTTCCTCACACTCACCCTGCAGTGGAACTTGTTACAACACCTCGAGAATCAAAATGCCAAAGGAGCCTTCAGGGGGGTCTGAAGCTTTTCTCTGCATCTCAAATCAGGATGTGATTTTTAGCCATTTTCTGTGTGTCTGTGGCCAAACTCTCCAGCTCCCAGCCAGAAGGGCTGAGAAGATGTGGATATAAAGCTCTCCAAAACCCAGCTCTGCTCTTATTTCTGAGCAAGAACATTCAGCTCTTTATACTTTGTTTTATTTACATTTGAGGCTTCTCATGAAAGCAAATTACAGAGCAGAACAGGGCAGTGAGACCATTTTATTCCCATTAAAAAGTGTTGGTTGTCTCGCTCCTCCAGCCTCTGCAGGGCTCCTCACACATCACTTGCAGATGAGATGTCTGTTGCCTCATCTTTAAAAAAATAAATAACATACCTGGGAACTGCCAGTGGAATTCTTTCCCCTCTCCTGTCTCCAGCTCGCAGGAACTGTAGCTTTAACATTTTACCTGGCAAGTGAGCAAATGTGCATCGGGAAGGTTTTTCTTGCCTTGGGGCTTTTGGTTGTTTAGATTTGTCAGAACTCTGAATAGTTAAAATCAGAGTAGAATTTGAGGTAAACAAGAAAAATCAAAAGCTCTACTTGTGCTGTTTGGAGAGGTCACTTTTTGCAGAGAGAAGTGTAATTTAAAAACTTTTCCAAACGAATCAAATGCCAATGACAGGATGCACATGGAACCTCTTGAAAGAGCATAAGTGGCTTTTCTCAGAAGGAGAAGTACATTTTGGGTAACCTTTCCACAGGTTAAGTATCAAGCTCATTGGACAACTTCTCCCATTTGGAAGCAATAACTGATATACAAAATTTCTGCCTTAAAGATGAACTTTGAGATCTGTGGGTATTTGCAGTGATGGTTTCTCTGTGGTGTTCTTTTTGTGCAGACACCCTGCTAACAGATGTCTGCAGTTACTGGGTCCTCAGTGCTGAAGCTTTCAGAAGTTTTCAATTGTTTTCTTGAATACTAAGTGTAAGTTTTGTGTGAGAGATTTTCTTCTCTGCCATGCATTTTGTGATTCCAAGTTCTACAGCACGTGTGACTCTAAAACCCCAAAGCCAAACAGCCAATACCCAACCAACCAAGAGCAAAGCCCCAAGCACAGAAAGGTCAAGTGTAGTTTTCAACAGCCTTTGTTCCTGGAGTGGTCTGAGCTTTGTTTTGCCCTTCTGAGGTTATTTTCTACAGGAATCTGGTGCTCCTTCTTGGCACGTTCCTGCAATAAAAGTGTGTATTTCTGTATTTCCAGGGAATCTGCTGGGCACAGAGTTTGGCTGGCTTTATGAAGTAGTAAATTTTCTGTTGCTTAATCTAATATTCTAGAGAAAAACAGTAGTGCAGGCAAAGGAGTATGTTGTTTCACCCTCCAGAAGTGCCATTAGAGATCTTGATCTTGTTACAGTCTTTGCTATTCCTTGTAAGAACAGTAAGATATTTAAGGTCTGCTGCAGTCAGAAAGCACAAAGAAAAGAGTGAGTGTCTAACAGAGAGCAACCAACTGTGCTGAAGCCAGGGAGGCAATGCTGGGGCCAGCCTGCTGCCTCAAGGATCAAATCAGGGTGAGCTGCACCCCCTTTTACTTTCTGGTGGCTTAACTAAGCCCTGTGCTCTGCCTCTGATGTTAAGTCCTGCTCACAATGTGTGAGTGACAATATCCAGCTGCACCTTCACTCGTGGTTTTTCCTTGTTTGCACAGCACAGACTCGTTGTCCCCTCTCCGTGGAGGGGCTGGGTTTTGGTGGCACTGGCTGAGTGCTTAATATCCAGAGTTTGGGCTGGAGGATGCTGTGGGTTCGTGCACTTTAGAAACCCGGGCTGCTCCTGGCATCCCTGAGCAGGATGGGCTGCAGGGACAGGGCCACGGAGAGAAGGTGCTGGAGTAGAGCAGATGTTGACAGAGAAGCTCTCAGAGAAGAGCTTCACTCAGGCAAGGACACCAGACCTGGAAATGCCAGTGGGGCTGAAGCCTGGATTCTGTGGGGCTCCTGGGCTGGCTCTGGGAGCGTCACAGAACTGGGACTGGGACCTAGGCTGCTCACTGTCAAAGAAACCAGACTAGAACTGAACAAGCTGGACTTGGGGGTGTCCCCCATCTTCTAAACCTGCACTCAATCATCTCCTGGCTTGGTAAGTATTTGGATATGACAACACTAGGGCTCCTGTGTTTATGACATTCCCATTGATCTGACTGAGTTACTTGTTTTCTTGTCTCTGGTTTCTTCTGCCCTCATTTATGTGCTTGGCTGTAAATGTCTCCTCAGACAGGAGCATGTTGATGAGCCTTAATGAGTTAATATAATCCCTGTGAGCTCTATATTGCTGTGGTTGCTTTAAAATACAACATTTTCTGCAAAGGTGCATCATGGCACCAGCTGGAGGGGGCTGCAGTGGGGTTGGAACAGCTGACATCCCAGTGGAGAAGCATCCCTGCACTAGCCAGTCTTTTCCTGCTGCAGGCTCATTTGGAAATGGCCTTTTCACACAAGACCAGTGCTTAATATATCACTCAGACTTTGCTCATTGTCTACAGATAGTAGTCTAACCTAGGCTCAGCAAAGTAATTAGGAGAAATAATTAACAGCTCTCAGTGATGAAGCAACCTCTCTCTCCCTCCCCTCTCCCTCACCATGTGGTGCACCTTGGTAGTGACTCAGAAAACACAAGAGGACATTATGAATCAAAAAATAAGTCTTTACCTGTAATTAACTGTGCACACGAAAAGGAAAACGTGGTGATCAAGCAGCCATTAATAGTTGCTTTACTGGAGGATACACCGGAATCAAATGCTCGAATGGTAAAATGTCCCTTTAGGTCGTGGCTCTGTTATAACATTTACTCCAAAACAAAAATAAGTCTCTACCAAAAGAAGTATTTGACCCGTACACCATACGGACATGTGTGGATAAGACACTGCACTCCTCACGTTCCAAATGCCTCGCGGCCCCTGTGTTCTCTGTAAGTGCAAGAAAACAAAACCCAGCCATGAAAATACAAAAATCAATGCAGCAACTACAGTCGTAGGCAACAGTATGTGCGTGGGCAGGCCAGGCCCGTGGGGGGATGTGGGGCTGGGCAGCAGGGATGGAGCAGAGTCCCCCTCCCCTCCCTCCCGTCCCTGCCCGCCGTGTGCCGGGGCTCCGCAGCTCTCACGACAGCGGAGAGGAGGGAAAATAAAAACACCACCCCAGCCTATACCAAAGTAAATAAAGGAATAATAAAAAAACCCCCATCCCTCGGATCGCGGCACTGTTTGCCCCGAGCGGGGCAGCACGGACGGTGCCGGTGTCACGGCGGGGACACCGGGCAGGAGCCGGCGCCGGGCTCCCTGCGCGCCTCTCTGCTTGGAAAGAGGGACCCGAAGTGGTTGCGTGAAGGAAAGGCGACGAAGGAGGCGGTGGGGACGGCCACCCATGGCCTCGGTGTCCCTGTGCAGCCTCAGAGGTCCGCCCAGCCTCGCAGCTGCAGGGCGAGCGCGCCCAGGGCCACGGTGGCCAGGCTGGCACGGGCGGCGGGGGCACGGTCGCAGTCCTTTCTGTCCGCTTCGCACCGGGACTGCTGGCACAGGACGCCCTTGAAGCCCGCGGGGCAGATGCAGCGCTGGTTCTGGTAGCAGGTGCCGCCGTTCTGGCACAGCAGGAGCTCGTCGTCGCACACATTGGCTGCGGGGTGACAGCGCTGTTAAACCCCTCGGCCGCCGCAGGAGCTGGATTTTAGCTCCTAAGGGGTTAAATCCTCCCGCCCTCCCAGCGTTAGAGCAGTTGCAAGGCTAGCAGAATGCAGTGGAGGGGTGCAAACTCTGCGGCCAAAGCGATTGGAAAGTATAAAGTAAATTCAGATTTGGGAGGAAAAATTATAAAGTAATATATATATAGTATGTATAAAATAATAAAGTAATTTTAAGCAATATGAAGTATAAAGTAATTTCAGATTATATATATAGTATATATAAAGTATATAAAGTAATATAAAGTATATAAAGTAATATAACGTATATAAAGTAATATAAAGTATAAAGTAAAAAAGTATATAAAAGTATATAAAGTAATTTCAGATTATATATCACAGAATAATGAAGCTGGAAGAGACTTCTAAGATCAAGTCCAACCCATGCCCTAACACCACAACCAGGCTATAGCACCAAGTGCTGCGTCCAGTCTTTTTTTAAACATATCCAGAGATGGTGATTCTAGCACCTCCCTGGGAAGACAATTCCAGTATTTTATTATTCTTTCAGAGAAAAATTTTTTCCTAATATCCAACCTAAACCTTCCCTGACATAGCTTGAGACTGTGTCCTCTTGTTCTGCCAGTTGCTGCCCGGTGGGAGAGCCCGACCCCACCTGTCTGCAACCTCCCTTCAGGAAGTTGTAGAGAGCAATAAGGTCTCCTCTGAGCCTCCTCTTCTCCAGGAGGAGATATATACTACATATATATAGTATCTATAAAGTACATAAAATAATATAAAGTATAAAGGAAAGTAATAAAGTATATAAAAAGTACATAAAGTAATTTCAGATTTGGGAGGAATGGCCGGAACCCGCTCACCCTGCACCCTGAGCACCATGGGGCACCCAAACCCAGAGTGCTGGAGATCCTGCTCCAGTTTGGAGGCATCTCCCATCTCCCAGGCCCTGTCTCCAGCAGTGGCTGGGTACTCACGGAAGCAGCCCTGTCTCCAGTAGTAGTTGGGCAGGCAATCGTCGCACTTGGGCCCCGTGGCCCCCTCCCTGCACTCACAGTAGCCGGTCTCGTTGCAGCGGTCGTGCATGGAGCCGATCTGGTTGCAGTTACATTCTGCCCAAAGACAGGGAGGTCAGAGCCTTTCCTGCCCCGGGGTTCTGTGCAGGCAGGTCCCTGAGGGAGGGGATGGGGCTTTGGAGAGGTCTGGAGATGTGCTGTGCAAGAGAGCTTAGAGACCAAGGGGCTGGGAGGACACGTTGGCCTGAGAGGCCCCAGCGGTGCAAAGAGCCATGGCTGCAAAGGCCACCTCTCTTTGGAGCAAGGCACCTGAATTCAGTCAGAAAGATTTTTTACTGTGAGGGTGGGCAGGCCCTGGCACGGTTTGCCCAGAGCAGCTGTGCCTGCCCCTGGACCCCTGGAAGAGTCCAAGGCCAGGTTAGATGGGCTTGGAGCAACCTGGGACAGTGGAAGCTGTCCCTGCCCATGGCAGGGGGTGGAACTAGACAGTTTTCAACCCTGTGATTCTAACTTTTAGCTTTGTTTACAGGGAAGAGATGCCTTGGCAGGCTGCAAAGATCAGCTGCCATCCTTGCTGAACATGCAGGTGGGCCTCACACCCTCCAGAGAGGGGCTGAATGCAGCCCACTCACAGAGTGAGGACCTGCTGGGGCCGTGCTCACCTGTGCAGACACCCTCCCTGCTCAGCTATACAGACATTTTCCCTGCTCACCTGTGCAGACACCCACACACACTCTCCCTACCCACCTACACAGACATTCTCCCTGCTCACCTATGCAGACACCCACAGACACTCTCCCTGCTCACCTATGCAGACACCCACATTCTCCCTGCTCACCTACACAGACATTCTCTGTTCTCACCTGTGCAGACACCCACAGACACTTTCCCTGCTCACCTAC